TAAATAACTTGAGTTGAGCTTTGTATCATTGTGCCAAAATCTATTAATATAAATTGGCCTGACTGGGTTTCATATTAATCTTTCAGTCATTAACATCGTTAGCAAATTGGAATTTATTTGACCTAATTTTGATGATCGTTGCACAATGATACCGTGTGTCCCTCGTTTTTTATTTTGGTTATGCAATCGTAGATTGCTGAGTGTACAGTTATTGAGCAAGTAGATACCTCAGTTACGTAGTCCATCCTTTCCAAGTAGATTGCAGGCTATACATTTCTAAACCTTTACTGAAAAACTGTGTGTGCTTGTAAGGTCTTTGTATGTTCACAGTTGGGGTTTTACCAGTCGACCTGTTGATATGCTACTTGCATGATTGATTGCTTTACTTGAAATTGAAATATTTTTTAGGCTCGTATAAAGAAGATCATGCAGCTTGATGAAGATGTCGGCAAGGTGGCGGCACCTGTACCTGTCATAATCTGTATCCTTGCAGTGTGGTAGTTTGCCAATGTAGTTGCAGTGTGGCAGTTTGCCAATGTAGCTGCAGTGCAGTAGTTTGCCAATGGGTCAGTGGGTGTAAAGTCAGTGGTAGGGTTAAAATTCTAGCAGTAACTGTATACAACAACCTAATATTAGGCATGTTAAGCATAATGACAATATTGTGTGCATTAATCATTTAATTAAACCATATAAAATGAGTCTATTTGTTTCTATCAGTGCTATATATAATGTAATATTATCTTTTAATGTACTTTTTTGGTATATTAGTGTTAACTCTTGACAACTTTTATGAATCACCTTGACTTCCCTGCAGCTAGATCGTTGGAATTGTTTGTTGAGTCATTATTAACGAAAACCAGTGCAAACACGCTGTCAAAAAATGCTAGGACCCTTAGTGCAGCACATCTGTAAGTTGTAAATGTGTTACATGTATTTAAAAAAATCTTATTTGTTAGTTGCTATTTATGTATGAATTCTTGTGATATAAGTTTAGGTAGCCATTGTTTAAGCTATATGCAAAAGTTAAACTGGAATGTGATCTAATAAAGCTTTAAAACCTTCAGACATGGTTTTATATTGTACAGACATGCG